AAAAAAGACACACCCGCACTAAATAGGCTCCCTTCATTTTAGGCCTCGGATTTTTGTTGGGTGGAACTGCCTTCAGCCATGGCCGCAAGTAGCGGTCAGAGCCAGCTGGTTTTGCCGGACAGTTCCAAACACAAACAGGTGGGGCTTTCCGCTCTGGTCATTTGCGGTGGGTTGTGATGTGCCTCAGCCAGGCTCCTCAATTTCCATTGTTTGGGACTCCAAAATGGCAGCTTCTATTGTTTTGGGAAATCCAGCGAGCCCTTTCAACCCCTTTCAGTCCAACCAACAGGACCCATGATACCGTTGTCAAAGTCACCCCAAGACAAGTTGAAGGAAAACAACCCTTTGTTTCCAACTTTTGTAACCCCTGGAAACCCTCAAGCCCTTGCGCTCTGGGGTAGGCCCCTCCCTCCTCGCGAATCAAGATGGAACGCAAAGAGGGGACCGGTCCTTCAACAGCGCTTCCGGATGGCTTGTGGCTTGTGGGGTCCATATGGGCCTGCCTTTTCAAGAGAATAACCCGAAAACATGGTTGGTTGAAAAGGAAACCAAAAGGAGACCAGCCGTTGTGGGGCTTCCCAGAACTTTGAGACATACCCATATCAATCATATCTCAATCATATCAATCAGGGTGTTGATACTCAGCCGTCTCTTAGGTGGGCGACCTTCGGTTCCGGGTCCAGAAGGCAAAGACGCGGACCTGCCAGCGCCCAGATGCTGGGCGGCCCTAGCGAACGCAGTGAATCTGGGTCCGTGGGTTCCCTGTAAATGGGTATGGGTCAAAATTAAGCCACCAGGGGACCGCAGATTGTAGTCCATGTTTCAATTTACCAGGGTTCCATTCTGGGTACCTATTTTTGACCCGGTGCCAAATACCCCAGCCTTTCTTGTGATGGAGAAGGGAGTTCAAACAAAAGCCAACCACTTTGAGGTCTTTCTCCATATTTTCAGAAGCCAACACCTGGCTGCCGCAAATGGGTGAGTTCAGATCCGAGGTTCCGGCCTTGAACAGATTTGGCGTGGATTCGGACCCCCTTGGAATGAAAGGTATGCTTTTTCACGCACGCTCCATCAAGGTGGTGTTTTTTTCTTTGGTCTCTCATTTTTGGACTGCAGATCCCATGGAGTTTTTTGGGTGCAACAACTGGAAGGGCCCACGAGTTGCCGAGGTACCTGCGAGCTTGCAGAGAGATTGCCGATATGTAGAGGCGCGCTGGCTGCGAAAGGGGTATGTTTTGCAGGAATACCGGGTTGCCTCTATTCCCCCTGCTTCCTCCGTTTGTTGGGTTTGAAGCTTTTAACAAGGGACCCTTCGTCTCACTCCTTGCAGTAGTGCTCGCTCAAAAGGGACAAATGGGCTGCTACACTGATGAGTGGCCCACACCACATCGCCAAACAGCTTGTTTTCGGGGTCGATCTTAATGGCGGAAAGAAGGAAGCGCAACCCAACTGCCGAGTTTTGCCATCGCTCGGTCACTCTGCCGACGTTAGGCGGCGGATTCCTCCCAGGCCCAGACAGAGGCCGGACAGCTTGAAGCAGCTCAATGGACAAAGCTGCGCCAGTAAAGTAGGTGCTTCTACCAGGCTTAGTATCTTCAAGCAAGGGCTATACAAAGCTTCACCACCATCTTTGGAACCAAATGTCAAAGGACTTTGGGTACTGCCCAAATGGGTTCGCGACCTTTCGCAGCCAAACCCTCACGATGAAGGTTCCCTTCTTACGGGGAGTCTATTTCTAATTCCGGGTCCATGGGCAGATCTCGGTGAAGCAAACAAATGGGATCTGTTAATGTATGTGTTGAAGGTTTACAACGTTTGGGGCAGATTCTACTGATGATATCTTTAGTTGGGGGCACGGAATCTATGTTTGTGTGTGTGTGTGTGGAACTTCCCATGTCATGGAAGATGGGTTCACAACCCGATTTTTCTTCATTAGACTAAGCAGGGGGGCTGCGGGCAACTGGATGGCGCGGGCCAACGGAGACCCTTCCAGTTTGCTGTGTAAACGTGCCTGCAACTACCTTTTTTCTCGTTTGTCATTGAATCCGTGTTCGAAAGCGTCTGCTCTGCCTGGAACAAAGGACCCCTAAACCATTCTGCTGCATCGTATTTGACTGAAAAGAGTGTGATACGCTTGGCACGCCCGTCATGGCGCCAAGTCAGACGGGGAAGCACCCCCGGCCTCCTTAATGGAGCGAGTTCAGCGTTTAGAGTGCCTGCGCTGAAGGCTGGATTGTTTCAGACCCCAGGACACCCACAGGCCCTATACGTCTCACCTATACTCACCTTAAGTCCTGTTCAGACTGCACTATGGTTGTTCAGATTCTTGGGCCTCGGTGTCTTGAAACTTGTTGCTCCGGGAGGCCCAGTCAAGCAATGCTTTTGCCAGTGGTGCCTTTGCTGCGTTCAAGCGAGTTTTTTACCTGATCACGTTTCACAGGACTTTCTGCACAAAGTGGCGGATGTGTGTGTGGAACTTCCTATGTCATGGAAAGGCAATTGGATGGCGCGGGCCACCGACGACCCTTCCAGTTTGCTGTGTAAACGTGCCTGCAACTACCTTTTTTCTCGTTTGTCATTGAATCCGTGTTCGAAAGCGTCTGCTTTGCTCAAAAGGGGAAGACGTATTTGTTTCCCACGCATTTTGGCAGGTATTCTATGGTTAGTGTGGCGAAGAATCCCTCCCGCCGGAAAAAGGCTTTCCCTCTAAAGGGACCCCCTGTCAGGTTGCGCGTTAATTGGTGGGAGAGTTTGTTTTGTTTGCCGATCTCCCCCAAATGAACCTGCTCGGGTGTCATTTTTTCTCCCAACAGCTGAAAGCTTTGGTCTTGCACAGATAAGCTCTGGAGTTGTTCGGAGCGCCTTGAAACTAGGCGGGCGCTTGACTATGGGGTGAATTCACCAATCCTGGGTTCTAGTCACGATTTGTGTTGCTTGTCTCCCTTCCCAGGATTGCATCATCACGCATGGGAGCAAACAGTAAGAGTTCGCAGATAAAGTCTGCCATCTACAACTCCCGCAGTGGGAGGAACAAACAGGAAAGTGTCAAGCCAACATGCGGAACGCAAGGCGAAGGGCTCTGATCTGTATAAGTCGGGATCTTGGGGGTGGAGGCGACGTGTTGTGCTATAGTCTTGGAGCTCTAAAACCATGGCAGTTGTCGCAAAAACTTGTCTTGAGCTTTGCACGAAGCGGATCTTTCTTCAAAACTGCGCTGTCGCTGTGGCGCCGGGCCGATCTTCGGACTTGCGTGAATTCCATGGCCAGCGCAGCATTCTGTGAGACCGCCGTGCGGTTTTTCAAGGCGGGCGCAGTATGTTTCGAGCTGGTGCTATAGGATGCGTGGCAGGCGCAAGCGCTTTTGCTGTTGCGCCGTGCGAATAATATGTCTTGAGCTCAGCGCACCCTTTGCGTAGATCCTGCGTGTCGAGGCGCTCTTGCTGTGGCGCCGTGCGAATATGTCTTGAGCTCGGCGCACCCTCTGCGGACATTGTGCGTGTCGAAGCGCTCTCGCTGTGTCGCCGTGCGAATTTGTCTTGAGCTCTGCGAACCCTTTGCGGAGATTGTGCGTGTCGCTCGGCGAACCCTCTGCGGAGATTGTGCGTGTTGAAGCGCTCTCGATTTGGTGCCGTGAAAATTTGTCTTGCTCGTGGTGCACCCTTTCGTAAATCCTGCGTGTCGAAGCGGTTTCGCTGTGGCGCTGTGCGAATTTGTCTCGAGTTCTGCGGAGATTGTGCGTGTCGAAGTGCTCTCTAGTGCCGTGCGAGTTTGTCTTACTGGCGGTGAACCCTTTGCGGAGATTGTGCGTGTCGAAGCTCTCGCTGTGGCGCCGTGCGAATTTGTCTTGCTGGCGGTGAACCCTTTGTGTAGATCCTGCGTGTCGAAGCGCTCTTGCTGTGGTCCCGTTCGGTTTTTCTGTTTTCTTTGCTTGCAAATCGGTGTTTGGAAGTTGTCTCGTGGTTCGCGCGTCTGCTTTCACGATCGCGCGTTGTCTCGGGTTCCACCTGCTTGGTCTGCGGCAGCTCCGGCTTGAAAATCGCAACTTTCAATTACGAAAGTAGCCCGCGAAGAGCAAACCAAGAGCTCCGGCTGCAACATTGCAACTTCTAAGCGCAAAAGTAGCACGCGCAGTGCGCTTCCGCAGCTCCGGCACGGAAATTTGCAAAAAGTACTGTGCGAAGCGCGCCCGCAGCTCCGGCTGACAAATCGCAAGTTTTAAGTACAAAAAAGAAGTACGCGAAGAGCATTTCCAGAGGCGCGGCTGCGAAATCGCAAATTGTAAGCACAAAGTATTATGCGAAGCGCACTCCCGCAGCTCCGGCTGAAAACTCGCAAGTTTTAAGTACAAAAGTAGTACGTGAAGAGCAAATTGTAAGTGCAACAGCAGTACGCAAATGCACTTCCGCAGCTCCGGCTGAAAATTCCCAAGTTTTAAGTACAAAAGTACGTGAAGAGCAACCCCGGCAGCAGCTCTAGCTCCGGCTGCAAAGTCGTAAGTGTTTTTCGCATAAAGGTATAGCGTGCCAAGCGCGCTCTCGCAGCTCCAGCTCGAACATCACAACTTCAATTTTTAAGTGCGAAAGTAACGTTCGGAAAGTGTGCTCTCGCATCTCCAGCTCGAAAATTGCAACTTGCAAGCGCAAAAGTAGTATGCCAAGTACCCTTGTGCAACTCAAACCGCCAGCCTTCTTGTGCAGTCAAACTGCACGCAGATATGGACAAGAGGGGTTGGCAGGAGAAAGGGGCATGAAAGGTTGGGCGAGAGAGGTTGCGCAGCATCATGCGCGAGAGGGACCGTCACGCATAGCATCATGCGCAGCATCATGCGCGCGTCGTGCGCAACATCACGCGCAGCACCGTGTGCAACATCATGCCTGCGCAGCATCATGCGCAACATCAAGCGTAGCTTCACGCGCAGCAGCGTCAAAAGACAGCGTAGCGCGCAAGAGAAGTTGACAGGATAATTTGTTTGGAAGCGCGGCGCCAAGCTTGCTCATCAGAATTTGCAGAAGCTTCGAAGGGACATTGATGTGTTTACGCTTGCTTCTCACCGTTGTTTTTAACGTCTTTCTATGCTTCCGGGCCACGAGTCGTCAAATTAAACCCAATACTATTTGGGGCCTCTTGCCGGGATAGTTTGTATTGCGCCTGTGCGTATATCGTCGCAGGCGCAGTGTTTTGGAAGGTTGCGCGTTTGCGTCGCCGTGCCATTGTTCTCAGGCAATTTTGGCCCTGCCGTGCAACTGGCTCGTCCTGGCGAGTACAGCTTGTCAAAATCCGTGGAAATCAGTCTGGCACCGCAGTCCCGCGCCAAAGCTGGACATGCGCCGCGACGGTGTCAAAGTTGGATTTCCTGACAGGTGCAAGGCTTTGGACATGTTTGCGTCTGTTGCAAGCTCGCTCCGCGTGACGGCGCAGCAGTTTGGATGGCTTTGATCAAACTTCCAGGCGTGGCAAGCACGTCGCGCAGGGGGCGCTGAGTTGCATGGGGCAGGCTTTGGAGGCGCGTTGAATTGTGTGGAAGGCGCGTCTTACAGGAGGCGTGAGTTGCGTGGCAGGTGCAGTATTTTGGAGGGTTGTGCGCAGATTTCGTGGCAGGCGCAGCACTGGAGCACATACTTGACACAAAGGCTGAGGATTAGATAGGCGCGCAGTAAGATACGATATACGAGTTGATTGATGTTATTGATTGGTTAGAAATGGAACTAGATGCGATTGGACAGATGGAGAGACAGATCGAGAACGCGCTAACAGTGAAGATGGATCAGCAGATGAACGCGTGATCTTTCTTTGCGTCTTCGTGCTCCATTTGGGAAGAATTAAAGAAAATAAATACATAAAGTACAAACAGATAATAAATGGATCGAACGCAGAAGGAGAACGCAAAAATGAAGGAAATAACGAAACAACAGAAAACAATGGAAGGAAAGGTCAAAAATAAATAAAGACACAAAATCAGCTAGTTAAGTAGACGGATAGGTGCTAGTGGGTAGATAGGCAGATGAACTGGTAGATAAATAGACGTACGGGTAGATGCGTAGATGAATAGGTAGGTGGGTAAATAGACAAATCAATAGGTCTTTAGGCAGGAACATGATTGGCGGAGACATGCACAAAGAGACATGGCACGGTAGCTTCGCGCAATGAATCCGCACTCGGGTTCGTGGAATCTAGCAGGTTTCATTAATGAACATCATTATGTTCCAAAGCGGCTGAACTGCATGTTCTTGAGGTGAGGCAGAACTTTCGACTGTAAACCCCACGCGGCCAGATGCTGGAGTTTCCGGTCAGCCAGCTACCCCGTGTTGAGCTCAGCGCAATGCCTGTGATGGATGGGTGGCAGAAGGGACAAGTTCGGCACAATGAACTCGTGGCCTGCGATCGTGGACCATGGGTGGCTTGTGCATTCACAGAATCAGTAAAAGGCGCGCCTTAGACTTTGATCCATCAGACCAATGCCCAGAACCCATTGGCAAAAATGGCCAAATGGCCAAATGGCCAAATGGCCAAATTGCCAAAGGATCATCTTCTTTCAAAGGCGTTGGGAGTGCAACATGTCGATACAACGTTGCCGCACCTCCGCGCTAAGTTCTGGAACAGCTAACGGCGGGGAGCAGTGGGGATCCCACGCTGCTGCGAGCTGAGCATTTGATATGCTGGGCCAACTCGGTTCGGGGTTACTTGGGGCACGGGTTTTTCAAGCTTGCTTTGTGTGGGAGGATGTGAAAGATCATGTTTGATCAACCAGGGGTCCCTATTTGGCGGGGTTGTTCTTTGCGTTGGCCGTACTCCCCTTGGGGAGAATCATGGCCATTTCTTTCCCCTTCCCTCACGCGCCTCCGTCCCTTCGGTCGTGTTCAAAGAGCTGAGGATGGAGGGAAGGGTTGAGTGACCAGCCAATTCTATCTGTGGCTGGCTAGTAACCTTTCTTTCCTTCACTTTGTCTCTTAGCACCATCGCTGAGTCTCAGGAATTTATGGAAGGAACGGCGTCTCACTCTCTTGCCTCGCATTCTTCACATCCCTCTCTCTCTCTCTCGATTCTTGACTCGGTTGTAAGGAGTGGTTAGGACAGGAGATAGAGGCAACATGTGTTTACCTTTGGCAGTCTTCTTCTTTTCAAGACAAATGTACTATTGGAAGGCAAGGCAACAATGTGTTAATCATTTCTCTCTGAAGCAACAAAAGTATCTGGACTGGACCAGAGGGCGTGGACAAAGTGTTGACTCACTATCCACTAATGATTATTTGAGGCGCATTTGCGGTTTTCTAGCTCCCCGGCTGTTGAAGTAGTTGACTTTCAATCACCGGTAAGGAGCAAGTAGGAGTTGTTTGATCAGCCTTTGTGGTGCATTTGGTTGGTTTTGCATTGGTCGCATTTTTCACGAGCCACATACCTCCAATCATCCTTAGCTAGACTCGTGGCTACCGGGCATTGTTTGCCTGCAGCAGTCATCCTTCAGAACATATCGCATCCACGAACCCCCGTTCAAGATACATTGTTACATTTTACGTCGTAGCCACCCAAAGAAAAAGGGGGATTTCCCATCCTGCAAGCCCAGGGCGGGGGTCGTAACTTTTGTGTTTAGGACGCCAGTTGTTCCATTCAAGAAGTTGTTTCCTGGAGAAAGCTGCGTTGCAAGGTTCTTGGCCATGAGCCAGGGTCAATCGGGATTGTGGCATGGCCGATGCAAACCTTGCGAAGACCGTCTTGGCTGTTGTGGCACCAACACTTGGTTTGCTCTTTCAATCTTTGAAGCGTTCAGAAACATGACTGTCCACAGTCAACAGGTGTTTGGGTTTCTGCCCACCTCTTCTCGTCTTCACCTCTTTATCTCGTCTCCTCATGTCACTTCGCAACGCGGCTGAGTTGGAAGACCTCCACAGTGGCCACCGATGACATCTGGGGCAAGATCTCGCACATGTGCGGCCCGTCGCTCCGAAGGTCGTTCGGGTTGATGGTGTTCACGTTGTTTGGTTTATCAGTAGATTGTTGTTGTTGGGTTGGTCACCGGTCGCCCCTTTGGGTTTGAGCCTACGTTGTCTCCTGTCGAGGATGTTCTGGTCGTGTCCCTTTGCTTGGAGCCAATTTATTGTAAAGGTTGCTGGTTGGGCTGGGCCTGCTTGGGGGGTTGGGCTAAGTCTGGTGGGTTGCTGATTGGGCTGGGCCTGCTTGGGTGGGTTGCTGGTTGGGCTGGGCCTGAGGCTAATCTCAGACACGTCAGACAGGCCAGCAGAACGTCATGCTTTTCGGGACACAAATACTATTTTTGCTGAGCTTCATCATTCTCAGCGCATTTGCGACAAAAATGGGCCCATGGAGCTGCCTCCGACTAACCCCGATAATTTTAATTCCCGCTGGACAGGATCTTGGCCCAGCAGACACGGGTGAGGGGGGCCGGAGAAACTTTGGGCAGGCAAGCAAGTCTCAAGAGATCTGAGCCCTTGGCCCCTTTGGGGCCGAGGCGAATTTCCTCTCAGGCCACGCCCCCAAGCCTGCGTTGCCTCCCGCAAAGCCAGGGCAGAAGGCCGGAGATCTGACGCATTTGACTGCTACTTTGCAACCGGCTTGGTTAGAGCAATGATTGTGTTTTTTTGCAAGACTCCTGGCTTTCATTTACCTGGGGCGACAGTAAGCGAATTTCTTTGATGTTCAAAGGGAAATGTGGGTTGAACCCTTCTTGAGTTTTTGGTGCTGCAAAGTTGCCTTTGAATGTTCATGCCGGGCCCCCGTCCCCTGCGGTAGGGGCACGCTCTGTCTCACGATCAGAGCTGGCGGGGGGGGGGGTTGATCCCTCACGATTCCGGGGGCCACTGCTGTCAGGCTGATGAATGATTACAACTCAAACAGTTGAGCGGCAAGTTGACGTTGCTAGCATGCCCAAGCCGCGGGACGCTTTTCCTCACCGCCGTGAGGCTGCAAGCTTTGAGCCATCGAACTTCTTCGGTTGAGTTTGAGAGTTGCAGGTACAGCAGCTCTGGCTACCAGTTCTGGTTCCCCATCAACCCGGCGAATCTCAGTGACATCACCACAAAGATGGGTGATCTTGCATCTCGGCTTTCAAGCAGAGAGAAGAGCAGCTACTTGTGTTACTCGCAAGTCTGACGTGGCTAGTTGCATGACAAGAGCAGACTTGCTTCTTGACCAAGGGCCTTTTTTGGTGCTCCGAGGCATTTAGATGCTTCCACTGTTGCATTTTCATGCCATGCATGTTTGCTTGGGGTTGTGCCACAGCTAGTCATCCACCCTTTGGGGATCTTTGTGATGGCTTTGATTTGCGGGGAGAATAATGAGCATGTGGGGCCGGTTTAAACCAATCTTTGATCATTGCACGCATGACTCCGCATGACCGTCAGTCTTTAGCTTATGGTGTGTGTCAGAAACTACGGACCCCGTTTTGCCAGCATTTGAATGGGAAGCCAACTTCTTGTCTACTTGTGCATCGGATTATCCCTATAGATTTAGACCAGTTGACTTCCCGTTTGGAGAACTCCTGAAACCTGTTTTCACCTGGCTCAGCTTATCCCAGACGTTTTTCGGATTAAGGAATGGCTCTGGTCGCTTCCTCAGGATTTGGTCGCGCCGCTGAGGTACCATCTTGGGGTGAAATCTAAGGGGAACCCACAGGGCAGCGAATTTTAACCGGGACCCCCCGCGCAAGTGGTTGGCGGACATGTATCCCCACCTAAATGACGTCCACCAAAGGGTGCCCAATTAAGATTCCCACCCGTAGGAGCACTGATTCTGATTGGGTCAGCTCGCCGAAGGTGGCATAGATGCCTCAAATTTGGGCTAGCTGTTTGACAGAAAGGAAAACAAACCAACTGGAGCGACCCAGCTTAGTGGCACAACCACGTCTGTGCTGTGTTGTTGGGCTGCGTGATTTCGGCATGAAGAGCTTTGCACTCAGCATGTGTTTGGGTGAGCTTCAGCATTTGGCTGCACCCTCCACAATGGTGTTGCAGAATTTTCCGCCCAGAAAAAGACAGCTGCTTTTGAGGGCAGCTGTTTTGCGACTGTTTACCGGAAAATTACACTTGGAGACAAACCCACATGTGTGGAGTTGACCTTCGTTTCCTTTTTTTGCCCGCCCCTCAATGATGTCATCTGCGGCACATGACCTCGGAAGAAACCACAGCTGAGCAAGGGATGGTCATGTTGTCACAACAAGAAAACTGGAGCAAATTGATCTCAAGCACCAGATGAGCTGAGGGTTGCGGCAACCAAGTGGAGGTTCAAAGAATGGGGCATTTCAGCGCTTTTAAAGAGGACCCTGGCCGAACCGCTATGCCCCAGCTTCATTGGACGGGTCAGGCCCGTGTGGCTGACCAGCGACACGCGCTTCCTGGCGGCCTGGGACCCCGCATTGTGCGTGGGGTGGGATGGGTTCCAAGCGAAAGTTCTGGGGAAACCGAGGCGCATGAGCTTCAGTTTTTTTCCCTGAAAGACACAGCCAAGAGGTGCGAACTCCGACCCTAAACTGGAAGCCATTGGAGCCCGAGTCACTACCCCCAGGTTTTAGGAAGCCGTTTAAGATCCTAGGAAGCGTTTTATGACCCTTGCTGGGAGGCCTTTGTCGTCCTGCGGAGCTTTGTTGCACATGTCAGGTGCACGGCTTTCCACGTCTGAGAGACCATGTGGCACGACCCACGCCCGACCGTTGAAAGGCAGCTTGCCATGGTTCTTTTGATTTTGGTGGACAAACCCATGAAGCGGTACAGCAATTGTGACCAATCTTCGCGCACGGATACGGCAAGCACCCAAAGACAGCCATCTTGTTTTGTAGGCCATGCCAGAATTTCCAGTAGTACTTTAGTGTTGTGATCGCAGACGAGCCAGGCGTTTGGTTTTTGTTTTGTTGGGAGGGTACCCCTTTTTGGGCTGCGAAACTAAAGGGAAGCCGAAGCTCATGTTTTGGGGGGGGTTGGCCCCAGAGACAATCTCAGCGAGCTGAGGCCGAGTTCACCCTTGCCAATTACCATGCAGGCCCGTCCGCGAACATTTGGACCCGGCTGTGGCAGAAATTGGAGGTCCTTGTAGGTCAGTTAAACCTTGTAGGTCCTTGTAGGTCCCTGTTTGGGGGCCCCTCCCAAATTGCGGTTTTCCTTTTGGTTCTCCTTTGACCCCACAAAAAAGGGGCACCTGCACCCTAAAGACATTTGCATACATAGCACTGGCGTTGGTTTGGTTCTAACCATTCAATGCCAGCGATTTGTCCAAGAGTGGGAAAAGCCTGCGCCCACCAATTGTCTGTGCCGAGGGAATCTCCTCCAAAGTGAGGATAGTTAGAGGCAGTCTATGGTATGAGGTTTTTGGAAGAGCCAGCATATTGTCAAGTGCTAGCGTCAAGTGCCAGGAGCAAGTTTGGGGCACATCAGATGTACCTGGGTAGCTTGTCAAATTCAGACACCTTCCATGTAGAAGCAAGGGTGCACGCTCTCGAGTATCCCACAAGTCCCAAGTGTCAACCACTGCAACCTTTTGGCTGAGAGCAAAGGATGAGTTTGAGGAGTGGCTGGAACATTCTATGTTGTGGTTTGTCCTTGGGGTGAGCTGCCACGGTTCAAGCATGAACATTGACCGCAAAACACTTAAACCTCACAACAGCACAACATGGTTTGGGGTGGACTTGTGGTGTATTTAGAGTTGGTTTTAGCGTATGTTTAGGGATGGACACAGGTTTGGGTAGGAGTAATTTGGGGGTTGGCTGGGGGTTGGCTGGGAGTTGGTTGGGAGTTGGTTGGGGGTTGGTGTGGGTGTCAACTCGGGGTGGACAAATCTTGGGGTGGTGAAGGGGCCCACAGTTCCAAACCAGCGCCAGGCAAGCGATGGGTTACCGCTCTAGGCTTATAACCTTTGACTTTCAGTTGCCATTTGGTGTGTTACTTGGAAATCAGCCTTCCTCTATTTTGGGCACCCCTTACGAATGCTCAATGGGCTAAATCAGCAAAAGCCAGAATGGGTGGTGCCCCTGGACAAAGCCACCCAAACCAGCCCCATGAAGCCAACCAACCCTAATCCAGTCCCAAGTCAACCTACCCCACCCCCCAATTGAATTCAGGCAACGAGCCTTTTCCACCAAAGTTCCAAGTCCCTGAAACCACCCACCAATCACCCCAAGCCACCAAGCCACCAAGCCACCAAGCCACCAAGCCACCAAGCCACCAAGCCACCAAGCCACCAAGCCACCAAGCCACCAAGCCACCAAGCCACCAAGCCACCAAGCCACCAAGCCACCAAGCCACCAAGCCACCAAGCCACCAAGCCACAAGCCACCCACCCCAGGCGGCTACGTGTCCTGCTCCGTGGTGCTGGAGATTGCGCCCAGCGGCGCAGCCGTCATGCAGGCCGACGACTGCGAGTTTTGGTGAAGCCCAAAGAACACCAAGGAGGGGTAAGGCGCGTGATGGAGCCGTTTAGTAGTACACAATTGCGACTACGATCTAGTTTAATGGTACGCCAAGCCCCCATTCTAATCATTTGGCCCCTTATTATATTAGGGGCCTACATATTGTCATCATATTGAACCAGCTTGGCCCCTGGGGAAAGAGGAATCCCATTGAAGCATTCTGCACTAGGGCTCCCCTTTACTTCCTAAATTGGGGGGGGGGTGGTTGGAGGGTTTATTCAGAGTTGCTCCAAACCTCAAAACAATGACCAAGCCGCGGTTGGGTCGAACATTGGTAGAAAGGGTCCTGTCCATCAGGCTGCGAATCACATTCAAGTACGGCCCACTGAAACAGTACTGTAGTCACTAGGCTCCCTTAGGAAGGGTCCTTTTTCTTTCCCATTTCTGGGTCACTGAAACAGGTGGTTACTGGAGGGTCCCTTTAGTGTCCATTTTTGAGGACCAACTTGTACCCTCCGATCCTGTTGGGGTGCTGGGTCTTAGGAGCAACCGTGCTGGAAAATGCCTATGCTCAAGTTGGCAAGGACCCGCGGGTAAGACTCTTTGTGTCCATTCCCTTTTTGTGTACCCGTTGGGGCGTGCCCCTGTTAATTGCTGGGGGACCCTACTCACTATTTGGCTCTATGAGCTATATAAGCTTCTATTCTATCCATCCATCCATCCCGCCCTCCGTCCGTCCGTCCATCCATCCATCCATCCATCCATCCATCCATCCATCCATCCATCCATCCACCCACCCACCCGCATCCGTCCGTCCGTCCGTCCATCCATCCATGCATCCATCCATCCATGCATCCATCCATGCATCCATGCATCATGCATCCATCCACGCAACCATGCATCCATCCATCCATCCATCCACCCACCCCACCCACCCACCCGCCCGCCCACCCACCCACCCACCCATCCATCCATCCATCCATCCACCCATGCGCCCATCCACCCATCCACCCATCCACCCATCCACCCATCCACCCATCCACCCATCCACCCATCCATCCATCCATCCATCCATGCATGCATGCATGCATGCATGCATTCATATGCATCCATATCCACATCCATATCCATATCCATATCCATGTCCATGTCCATGTCCATGTCCATATCCATATCCATATCCATATGCATATCCATCCATCCATCTCTTTCTATATTTATTTGTTATGGATACAGACATTGTGTGTTATGGTTTGGAGCCAGGAGGGTTGCACTCTCTGCAAAACAAGTCTTGAGTCTTCAGCTGAGCTGCATGTTTACGGGCTCAGTCATATACCCCAGGTAGGTGCCCCAGATACACACCCCGTGTATATATCTATCTATCTATATATATATATATACACATATATATACATATATATATATATATGTATTCATATATCAATGTATGCATGTACACATATATGTAAATATGTATATACATTTATACACATCATGGAATGCCCCTCGTTCAAAACCTTGGTACGTGGAGGCAGGGGGCAGTGAAACCTGATGGGCGGGGGGGGGGGGGGGTGTTGGACTGTTTGAACGGCGGATTTCGCGTGTTCCACCCATGCAGACCAAGACCCTTGTTCTGCGTGGAAAACGGAACTTGAAAGCAGGGAGCATTCTGGTGTCTTGCCGGCTGCAGGCAGTGTTATGGTCAAACTTTCACACAGCGATGTTTGCCAACCAATCAGGTCAACTTGTTTCCTTTTGGCACATCAATGAAAACCAGAGCTACATGATGGCAAAGGTGTGCAGCCCGGAGATGGAGCGTTGTGTTGCTTCAGCTTTAGAGTTTCTTTGCAGCTGCTTCTCTTTGACACTTCTGCCGTTTGGACACAGGCACCAGACCTTTCTCAGGTCTCAAGCAGGCTTCTGCATGACCAAATGCGGCTGCCGGCGTTGCTTTGCCCCCTTCGGTGGAGAAATAGCGTGGTCGAGCTCCATGGCCCACAAAGACGAATCTTTTTTTTCATTTTCCAGGGCAAACGGAAGGCCCCAAAATTGGGATGTTTCCCTCCGGTTCCCCCTCAAAAGACGTGCAACCAGTACCCGAACAGACACCCAGTTACTCTCTCTCGAGGCAGTGCTGCTGCCTTTCCACCTGGCGAACACCGGTGGCGACAACACTGCTGGCCAGCCCAGAGGGGAGACGAAAGCAACGCTGAGTGCATAAACACATGGGTGTGTCTCAAAATAGTAACCCCCCCCCTCAACTGGGGTGGCTTCCTTTTGGCTTCCCTTTTGGAAAGATCCAACAAAGACACACCCACGTACGTCTTTGTGTATCTACACATGAACGGCCCATAGATGACAATTGGAAATGCGTGGACGAGGGAGACGTAACTGCACCATGCCCCAACAAAGGACCCTCTCACTTGTAATTACAAGGTCCACGGACTTTCAATCCCACCTTCTGCAGCTTCAAGCTTGCGCCTGACATGGGCTGGCTTGAACTCCAAGTCCCTAGAGTTTGGTGAAGAATTCAAGGGATCTGGGGATGGCCGCAAACCACACAACTCCTATGAAAGCCCTTGTAGCTACTTTGGCATCGAACATCAATGCGTTTTACGCGCTGCTGAAATCTGAAATGACTTAGACGGACTTAGACGCTTTTCAACTTGAACCAATCCTTTTGAGGCTGATTCTGGTATTGGCAAATTCGCAACTGATCCGAAAGCACAGATGCTCCCAGCAAGGCAGACGTGCTGGACATCTTCCGGTGGATCATCTTTGTCGGCTACTTCTGCCTATACAAGGCCGGGAGCCAAACAAGCACTGGGGCTAGATCCAGAAGTGCAGCCCTGGATCACTTCACGCCTAAGTTTCTAACTTGCACCTATCTCAAGTCGCCCATCTTTGCCTTTTGCTACAGTTTGTGTGGCAGAGATGTTCAACCCCAAACATTAAGGTCCAGTCAAGATCAGTGCTGTGAATGGAACTGCAGGCAGGGCACAGAGGTTGATGCTACCCCTTTCTCTGAAGATTCCTTGGCGCGGGCAGCTGCATTTGTGCGCACCAAGTACATCTAGCTCACCTTCTGGCAGAACGAGCTAGCCCGTGTTGAAGTGCCTCAAGGGATGCCTGAATTCAGTTGTTTGAGTGACGTAATTCTATATAGTTATTCATTTTATGCAAATATGTTCATTCGCATATGTGACTTTCAGCATATCTCAACGTTGTAGCCTTGGGAACTTTGCTGCCAGGCAGGGAGCAGCCAGAATCACAACCCATCTATCGCGCAACAGATCATCCCTCTACCATGGCCTGCAGGGCAGAAGACCTTCCTAGGTACAAATGGGGGGGGAGTGGGGGAGTTGGGCGAGACGCGAACTCCAGGTGTGGCGGGCATGCGAGGACTACACCATGGAGGGCCAGTCCGGTCTGAGATACGCCGCTGGCCCGGAGGGTGGCGTTGCATTCGTCCAGACACCTTTTGGTATGGAGGGAAACACAAGGGAGAGTCCCTAGTCTTGAGAAATACCCAAGCAATGGGAGCCCATCAAATGTCCCCTGGTTGGCTGGTAGGGGCCACTTTCAAGGCGGACAGGTTGATGAAGCCAGGGTCGACTTGAATCAGGACCATACCAGTCTTCGATTTCTCTGAGAAGTCTGGTGCTTCGGATTTTACTTAGCAGCGGCAACTCTCACACAGCCAAAATAAGCAGTGGTGAAGTTGAAGTTCGGAGACACAACCGTCCCAAACGCAAAAGTCGTTGCGGCTTTGCCCTTTTGATTCTTTACCGTGGGTTGTGGGCAGACTTCATGTTTGATTCCAGTATCGAGGTTTGGTGGGGCCGAAAGTGCACCATGCAATGTTGCCGGGGTCCGTAGAGCTTGTGACCCTTTGAGCACAACCTTGGGCCCCCGGTGCAGTCACCCTTGGCCCTGCCAAATTCCTCCAGCTTGGACTTGCGGGGCTAGCTTCTCCCTAGTTTCCTGGATACCTACCAGAGGCACAAAAGAGGCGTCGAAAGCTGTTGCCCTCAGCGAGGTGTTGTCCCTGGCTGGCTTGCTGGACGCTTCCACCGTGGCGCTCTTCTTTGCCCTGCAGTGACCTCGTTTGGTGCTCGCTGCCTTTTTGGCCTTGGGTGTCGAAATATTTTCTGGGCGTCTCAGCTCGGCCTTTGTGTCTTTCCAGGGTCCCTACAGCATGCTTTGGGCCGATTGTGATTGAGATTTCTTCTGCTCAGAGCAAACGCTTAAACGTCATCTCCTTCAAGTCGTCGCGCGGGGCGACACGAAAGTCTTGATGCTTGTTGAAGCCAGTTCCTTTCGGCTCCTAGTGGCGGGTCGCCAAATTTACCCACGGCAGGTACACGGTCCTCAACCTGCAAAAGCCGGGTGAGCCGATGAGTAGCAGCAACTCCCAGGAGGGGGAAACAACGCCCCGTTTTGACAATCTTCCAAGGTGATGGGAACACCTTTTGCTTCCCGTGGAGAACAGTCCTTACATGTCGCCGGAAGTTTTCGTTCACGGCCACACCGATCTTCTCCCCAAATCATACCTCCCTCAAACAAGCATGACTCTAAGTTGGGTTCCGCTATTCAAGGAAGATGGGGTACACAACGACAATAGAGCCAGTTTTTGATGGTGGTTGCCATTTTCCATTGGGGCGCAAGTCGATAGGAACCATTTGATCTGGTCCCAAGTCCGCTTCCATGACTGTTAGGCCCAGGTGTATGAACGTTGTATCCAGTGTGTTCTGATTTTGTTGCCAGCCAGCTTGTGGCAAGTGGGCACGCAGATTCCCTGCCCCCGACCTTTGGCTGCTCTGTTCTGACGCAGGAGTTCGTCGCTTACAGCCGGTGGGCTTCCAGAGAGGAGAGCCGGCTCAGCTTCTGTGTGGTGCTACCGTGTTTTTTCCATGGTTACTCTGTCTTTGTTAGGCCATGGTAAGGGAACCCAGTCTTACTAATCCGCTAGATGGATGCGGGTCCCATTGCGGGGGACCCTCACTTTAGGGACGACACGGGCACCTGAGGCAAAGGGCACCCTGACCACACACACAGGGCGCCAAGGGCAGGTTCACCAAGGCGCTGGTTTGAATCATGTCGACGACCTCATTTGGGCTAGCTTTTTTTTCCAGTTCGCCCGGAATACAACAGAGAGTGGTTTGGAATGAAACTTGGCCGTCATTTTGCTTGAGGAAGGTCCACCAGGTCTTGGGGATAGGCGAGGTACTGGCAAGCCAACTTCAGCCATGGAACATCACTTTTTCTAGCTGGTTTACCAGAAGTGTATGAGCTATGTGATTCTGGGAAATGTATCATTTGTGAGCCCCAACTGTCCATGATATCAGATCTAAAGGGCTGGTGCTGCATACCCGTTATGTACTCGCTAAATGCATTTGGCGACCCTTTCTTAATCTACATGTACGTATATAAATACATACTTATATGTATGATATAGTGAAACCTTTCGGGGAGTCGCTTTGGAGCTTGATTTTAAGCATTTCAAGGTGTGGGCTTTTCTCGATGAGGTTCCACAAGGGGGGTAGGGCGAATACTCCTGTCCACGGAAGCTAGACAAAGGATCTGAGCATTATCGCGCGTCAGGGAAATATCCGTTTTCTGGGGACGCCCTTTGTGGAGTTGCTTTCCCATTTGGGGTTTCCTGTTTTGGGAGAAACCTGCGGTGGGTGTTGAGCCAGGCAACTGCTCCGAAGACAAAAAACAAAGAACACGTGTAAATATATACATGTGCATATACACGTTTATATATATATATATATATATATATATACATCATGTATATATATATGTATACTTATACATAAAATGCTCCGTCATTCCTTGAATGCGGGTCTGAGTTGGACACATATTTTTTTGGGTCCAGTGCCCGGCAGCATTTGCAAGCAACGCCGCCACGAGAGGGTTGGAGGATACTTGCGGCATTTGAGGTGACTGCAAGTGAAGCAACTGATGGAATCCGTGATGGAATCCGTAAAGACCTGTGTATTTTTTTGTATTCTCTTGCAATTATTATGTAGTTGTATCATGTGCACGTACGCCGTGGTTCGGGGGGAACTGTTCGAACAGCGCCTCGACCCGCGTGCCGTGCAGGAGATGAGGCTCATCGGTGAGGCAGTGCTCGTATTCCTCTTCACTGTCAGGCCCGAGAGTTGTTTTCAAATGCGGCAAACGCAGGCCACCTGCTGGAATGCTGCGTTTCAAGGGAAACTACAAGCGGCCCTCACACATACACCCGTACAAATTCATGCCTCTTATACTCTCAGTGCAGAGTTTGGCACCCTCGGGTGAAAATTAGTACAGTATATAGTCGGGCACAATCCAGGGGCATGTAGTTGTGTCCCGATGGGACTCGCAAGCGCGCATGTCACAGCTACCGTTGCGATTCTCAGCGAAATGCACAGCAGCTGGTACCCTTTGGCCCAAGTTGTCCAATGCCTTCGAAGGGCACGACGCGTCTCAGCGCACTCCGCACGGACCGGCTGAAACTGTTGGCTTGCAGGTATACCATGCTCCTGCGCTTCTATCCTGGCGTCTACCGGTTCTTCATCCTCTTCTTCAAGTCCTTCAGGGGGGGCATGTGCCGAACTTAGCACCTGCAAGTGCCTGGTGCAACCGGCGAACAAAGGGCCATCAAAGGCTATGCGGATGCAAGTTGCTAGTTTTGGGTTGCGTTTGTCCTTTCAAGTGATAGAAATTTGGCTTTCGCACCACTTTTTGTGAGTGGGCCAGGGAGTGAAAGCCACAAAGTAGTCATAGGGCTGGGAATCAACCATGTCGCAGGGCTGGGAATCAATCAGCTAAACCCCCCAAAACAGACGCAGTTGTTTGTCGTGCAAGAAAGGGTGAATGATGGCAACCTTATTGGGGTGTCGAATCTCGGAAGGTCAGCCCCTGGAAGAATTGCGATAGTTCACCTGGACTTGTGGACTGGGGCCTTTTCCAAAGCGCGCTTCTGGGCCCCAGGCAATTTGGAGGTGGTTCCCGCCCTGCTCTGCTGTTCCCGGCGCAGGTTTCCTGCAGGCAACACAGGCAGTTCTGTTCCAGCGGAATCTTCAGCCGCGCACGACCCATTGGCAAGTCAAAAAACAAAACATTCATGGGCGCAAGACAGATCCCGACACCCCCCGGGCCCGTTGAAGTCATTAGGTACTACTTGTTCATCTTCCTGCCAGTGGTCCTTTCCACCATCTTCTTCGCCAACACGCTGTACAGTCCGCAGGGGCCACAGTACATCCAGGTGCTCTTTTAAGACTGAGACTCTTTCCTGGGGGTGGGGGGTCCGTAAGTTTCCTGCCTCGGCTTGACCTAAAGAAGTGGAAGCCTTTCCTTTTGCCGCTGCGAGGAAGTGGTTCAGAGATTCTCAGCTGGGAGCCGGCACTGGCATTGGATGTATTGAGCTTCCTCTTGTCTCTTTGGGGTTCCATCATTTGCATCCTGTGACCAGCAAAGAGCAGTTCCCAACATCACGGCAAACAGTTTTATTCTGCTGAAGGCGCAATCATCTACCACAGCTTACTCAGAAAGACAATTTGCACAGCTATTGCCTGTAATTACAGTTTATGCTTCTTGCATTGCAACCAGCAGACTTGCCTGAGAAGACTCAGTTCTCTTTGCACGCCTATGGCGGATGGGTGGAAGCCCAGCACCCTGCGAAGTTCGGATCTAGTAATGTAGTATTCGTTTGTGGCCTCTGGCATATCATGGGCATGCACCGTTATTGAAAGGACCATAGAGGTCCACACCAACCCCATGTCATCTCCTACCCGAGGTATGTGGAAGGCTACAGCACCTGGGTGCGGTCGTTGATGAGCATCGTGGCGCGGTGCCTGGCGAGGCTCTCTCTCTCTCTCTTGACTCGGTCCCCCAGCTAGGTGCCCTTTCTCACCTTCTTTTTTTTTGGGGGGGGAGAGTTCCCCTACTAAAATGGACAGAAAACAAGTTGGTACCCTTATTCTAACCTCACTGGAGGACCTTCAGAGATCTCAGCTCTCTCCGAGGCTGAACAAGTTTTGAGCCTTTCGTCAGGCTAAACCCGTGAGGCGTGTCACGCGGCCCGTCCAAGTGCTCGGTTTTGGGCTTCGAAAGGCGGAGCCGGCGCCGAAGCCTGCCATTTGGGAGGCCCAGGTGGCTGGATTGAAGGGAACACATATGGCTGTGGGTCAAAAATAGGTACCCAAATGGGAAACATGGACTAAAATCTGCGTTCCCCTGGTGGTTGAATATTGACCCACATGCCGACGGAGTTTTGACCGCACCCTGCGCCGAGTCTGCTCTCCAGAATGTGGTGAACATTGATGACTTGTACAATGCCAGCCCAGTGAGGGCCCCAGCTCAAAGCGCGAAGGTCCTAACGTCCAGTCTGTTGAGTAAGACAGGAGGTATTTGTGGGGCCGACAAACAAGACACCCTGGACGTTGACTTGCGTGAATGGGGGTCAGTTTGCTTATATACGTTCTTGGATCGATGCTTGTGTTCGTGTGTGTCATGCACCTTGGCTCGTCCAATATGGGTTTGTCTCCAGATAAGGGAATTCCCCAAACGGGTGGTTGCCCTTCGCTTTCTCTCTTCAAAGAGGGACACACCCAATATCACGCCCCGTGATTTGTCAAGTGGACGGCACGCTTGTGGTGCCTTTCTTTCATTGCATTGTTTGCGTGCCGCCGGTCCAAGAGCCCTTTTTGCAACGTGCTCGAGCCATTTTTTGTGCAAGTCAACTCCTGGCGTCTTGGAACACCGGGTGTCGTTGAAGCCAGCGTCGGCCCCCCGAGGCTTGGACCTTTGTGTTCACGCTCTACTGCTATCTGGCCACACCGCCAGAGCTTGAGACTTGAGAGCAGATCCCAACCAGAAATAGGTGCGGCCGCCTTCTTAATTCTTTACATGGTTCTGGGTTCACCATTTTTGTACCGGGCTTTGATTACGACTCAACTAGATGTTTCCCTTAGCCAGTTGCAGCATCACTTGTTGCCACTCTTAGATGAGTTTCTTTTTCCTGGGGTGATGATGGGGATCAATAGACACCAGCTTGATGGTAGGACAATTGTTGGTTTGAAGTTGCCACTTTTTCCGAGCGGACGAGGAGTCTACGCTTGAAGTGGCCATGGGAATGACCTGTATGATCTCAGAAGGGGTGATTTACCACAACCATGGACCCAGTTGCGTAGCCAGCATGAAGCCCGGAAATACATCTGTGGGTGTTTCCGTCGGGGACCTTTTTCGGCATGCGGATTTTGCCGGAGAGTTGCCATAGGTTGAAAAAAACGTATGGAGCCTTTTTGGATCCTGGGTTCAAAGGGCCCAGAACATGAAGCACACAACACATATGTTGAGGAGTCTCTTTCGGGTGACCTCTTTGGGGTTGCAAGCGCATGCGCAGTCTGCCGTGACTCACGGCAGATCCTCTTCTGCTTCTTCGTGAACGGGTTTCTGGCCATCACCGCCTATGCGTGCGACGCGAGAATTAGGATGGACTTGTGGACTGGTGTTGAGGGAGGGTGGAACATGGAACCTGGCAGGTTGATTTAAGAGGAGTTTGAACTGATCTTTCCACAGGTGCTACGTTAGGAGGGGGTTTTGGGCACGAAATGAGGGCAAGCCGCTTGTGGGTCCCCAATTCTCAGAGCCCTGTGGCTCATGTTTTCCGCATTTGGGGAGTTTTAGTGGCAATTGTTGGTAAATGGAGGCTCGAGGAACCCTCTGCTGGTGAAACCCTTCATCCAAGACATGGAATTGACCTTCCTACCTGGAAGGGCCTTCCAATTGAATGGTATGCCGTATGCTCCCTTCATGTTCCAGAAATGGAGGGCTGGTAACCATTCAGCGGTGTGAATCGGAGCCAGAGGAAAGCCCAGATTTTTTTCTCCCAAATGAGTTTGTCTCAAAAGTGGGGACCTCCCGGAAGAAGTGGGTTCTCCTTGAGGTGAAGGCAACAAACTCCATGTCCATTTGGCCATGGTTCAAAGCCAATGGTACCATTTTGGTTGGTAGATGAATTCACCACCCATTCTGGTCTATTTGTGTGGTTGGATCGGGATGTTCACTGGGGGCTAACCGGGGTTTTGACCCATGGCCATTGAGAGGTACTTCGAAGTCGAGCTCCTGGAGCACTCGGATCCCAAGTACGAGCGATGGACCCGCCCTTGGGGGGGCTTTTGGGGGAGGTGCTCTCAGGGGTTGCGGGGGGGTTGCGGGGGGGTGGGGGGGTGGGGGGCGGGTGGGTGTGGGGGTATGAGGAGTTGACGTCAAAGAAGACAGCGTTGGGGGTTGGAAAGCCATTTGTTGAACCCTAAAGGAGGGGGCGGGTAAACGGTTCTCAGGGAGCAGCTTTCACCCCTCCTCCCAATCCGTCAACGTGCGGCCATATTCAGGCCATGCCAAGTGAAAATGTACGGTCCCCTACTCTCCCCAGTTGAATACGTACCTTTATACAACAGGTTTAGTCATTATGTGTTGGCAAGCCTCGATGCCTCAAAACGGCCCGGGTCCGTGCCAATGGCCCATGCAGCTTTCTTGCGTTGAAAGGTTGTTCCAAGTCTGAAGGTCGCTAACGGGGGATTTAAAGGGGGTTCGGGGTTCCCCCCGAACATGCTACCAACTGACGCACAAGCCCCAAGATAGCCCACGAGTGTATTTGTGGTTGGCTTCAAACGCTGATCAACTTAGGTCACCTTTCAGCCAAGTGTTTTGAGTGAGCCCCTTTCGCCATGCTGATTTTGCCATTGAGTGTCGCATGGTTCGCGAAGGCCGCTGGTTCAAGGCGACGGCTTGATTTTGGAGACAGGAAGTTCAACAGCTGGCCTGAAGCACAGGCATCCAGATGAACACGCCAGATCTTGCCATTTTTTCGAAGCCAAACACAAAAGATGTGAAGCCCCAAATGCAGATGTGGTGGATGCTTGACTGAGACATGTGGATTGTGTCTGTAAGTTCAGGTATACTAATACTAACCATGAAATTCTGCAAGTCTCACAATTATGATGTCTCATCATGTTTCCATGTGCATCATTCTCATTTTTATGGTCCCAATAATCGAGAGGAGTACTCGACTTGCAGTATTCGGGAATCATTCGCATTTGTTTCAAGGTTACCTTTCACATTGGGCATTTGGGATCACACCGGAAAGTATGTTTGCACTCCAAAAGTCAAAAAAAGTCATTGGCTCCCACCCCAGCTATGAATTTGATAAACAGTAACTCAAAAAACAAGCATGCTCCAACACCGGCTAAGTCGATTCGGTTTTTGGGAAAACCTATCGGGCTTCCGTGCCGACGGCGCTTTTTTCCTTTCCCGGGGCAGAGCCATGGCCTTCCCGGTGCAGCTGCGGGCGGCGCTCACGGGGGCGGTGCTGGCAGAGGCGGAGGCGGAGTTCTGGTGGGGGGCGTTGGAACTGGCAGCCCCTGGGTGTGGTTTTTGGCTCATTTTCTCGAATTTGTTTGAATTTTGAGTAGATGGCTCGGATTTTTAGGGTTTTGAGTCACCTGAGAAGTGGTGGAGATGAATCCCTGCCTAAACGACGGGTGCCCAATTGATATTCATACCGAAGAATAGTTCAAATGGAACCCAAGTTGATACGCTCGCACCAAACTCGGTTTGGCGCGCATCCGAGTCATTTGGAAGAGCACGGGTGTCATGTGTAGGAGAGACCCTTGACGCACATGTTTGGTGGTGGGAGAGTATGTGTCGAGCTCGGCACTCTTCACCCGAACGGCTTTACGCTGATGGTCCATTGGAAGTTGATCCAGCCTGGCGGGTCACGCGTTGTTTTGCGCAGACACAACAAAACACACCGCAACCCGGCGCAGCGCCACTCAACCCAATGCAACGCAATGCAACACAATGGAACGCAACGCAACACCGCAACACCGCGCACACACACACAATGCATCATGACCACAGCAGAACCCAACACACGTGCGCACAGCACCAAGCACCATACACATACACAGCACTCGGAACACAAGGCAGAACACACTTAAACGCAACAAACCACAACGCACAGCACACATGACCCAACATGCACACAAAAGACCACACACACACACATACACACCACACAACACAGCACACACACACACACACACACTCAACGCCTTCACTCACCTAAAACATACGCATACACAATACACGCAGCAACACAACATGCAACACACAGCGCACACAACACATCACACCACACGACATCACGCTGCCCCCGGCCACGTCGCATCGTATCGCATCACATCGTATCATCACAGATAATTCAATTGACCACATTACTTGGATGTCGGGTCGTGGCTAGATCCTCCAATACTCTCTCTGAGTCCGGACGAAAGCGTCCGCTGGACCTCGGCTTGGGGATCCCTATATGGTACCCAGAGAGGGGCAGATGCCACAGTGAGGGAAACCAAGGCCAATGTGTTCTCAAGCCGCGACAACCCCCCGATCCTGATGAGAGGATAAGAGGGAAGAAACGGAATTGGGACGGCACAGCTTTTCTTTGGAAGAAGCACCGATGCTTGTTTCGCCGTTGGATTGTAAAGTCAAGATTGCTCAGGTGGCACTCTCAATTGATCAGCTGTTGGGTTCAGCCTGTTCTGATGAGTCTCATGGCAACCCTGGCTGGACCCTCAGCCACCACCCGATTTTCCTTGCGAACAATGAGAAGGACGTGACAGGAGGGGGCGGGGCGCCTGGGCCCCTACCTGCGGATTGGCAGTTGACGCATGCCTTGAACTTGTTCTTCTTGGGCGTCAAGGAACTGGGGTCTCCTCCAAAACTATGTTATGTTTTGGTTGACTACATTTGGACTTGAGTCAGAAAATATACTTTGCTGCGTACCCCAGATGTGGGTGTCTTGATCCTGTCCCTGACAGGTTCAGGCACACGACAAAGTGGCCAGCCTGCGGTCCCTGCTGGCTAGCCGGAGCCCGAGATCAGGCGGCCCTTTGGTTTCTTGGTGTGGCCGCAGTGTGGGGCGACCGCATGTTGAGGACATGCAGATAGTTTGTGTTTTCTCTGGTTGGAACCCCCTTTTTGTTGGCGTCAAAGGCAAAACAACATCAGACCCTTGCCATTGCAGTGGGTCCACTTCTTCATTTTGAGACGAAACCAAGATTTGACGGAGCAACTGACGAAATTATTGCTAGCGCTTCATTTGAGAAAACTCCACGTTGCTGGATCAAGTCCACAGAAAAACCATTTGGCGCCCAGCGCCGATGGAGCCAGTGAGGCTCGGCTCGCTTCGACTTGCTGGTGGACAACAAGGCTGCACCGGGTGGGCAAGGGACTTCCCGTGGGTGGGTGGGTGGGTGGGTGGGCGGGCGGGCGAGTGGGTGGGTGGGTGGGTGGGTGTGTGACATGGTTGTGGAAGATGCCACTTTCTGTGATGCCCAACGGTATCCCGGTGTGAAGTGACACAGTATTCAGGAACATTCCCCCACGTTGGGCATAGACAAGGTTACTTTTGGCAACCAGGTGCCGGTGTTTTCCTGGGGTTGTTCCAGCAACCTGCAACAGGTTGGCGTGCGCTGGCTTTGGGTTCTTTGCCCTCTGCCCTTTTGGATGACAGGAGTTTCCCGCGCAGGTCGGCGGGCCAGGTCGGGCCCAACATGTCGAGCTGAGATGTTCGGCACAACCATTTGCAGGCATTCTTGTAGGATGTGTCCTTGTGGTGAGAATCAGACATGATTGAATATCGCCTGTTGGTTGGCAATGCCATTGTGACATCTCCCTCGATTCCTTAGCAGTTTTTGCGGCCTTACTGTCCGGTAAACTTCATGTTTGCTACATGTTCTGAAGGATATATTGTTGCATGCGCAAGTGGGCGAAGCTCCTTGTTCAGTTGGTTCCTTGCAAACATGTCGAATTTCAAGCATTGCTTTTGCCAGATTTAGATCACCCTCCTTGGCAACAGACTTTTAGATTCCTTTCAGGAACCCTTGTGATTGCAAAGTTGCCTCCATGAACCATGGTGTGTCTCAAGATTAAGGAAATCCAGGCGGTTAATTTCCTTTGGTGTCCCATCTGTGGCGGTCAAATCCAGCTCAATTCGCGATGTCTTGGTGCAATTCTATTGGATGCAGGTGCATCTTTCAAACAATTGGCTGCTGGAAAACACGTGGGTTTCTTAAAAGCAAGATGGTCTCCCAGGATGCCCCGAACGTCAGGTCCATGTCAATTGGTGGGAGGGTAACATATACCACTCATCTTTTTCTTTTTTCTAGAAAAAAAGCTAAAGGTAGCCCGTCGCAGTGAACGAACGCAGGATTTGCGCAGGCCAGGCAAAGACTTGGTTTGTATTCTTCTATGGCTGCCTTTGGAGACCGTCTCGAGAGAAGGCTTGGTTTTGACACAGCCAGAAGCCTGCCTACATGTAGCAAGATCCCAGATAACTACGTGGGCAACGTTGTTTTCTTGACGTGGTGTGCCGAGCCCAATTGTGGATGGACCACGGACCTGTAGAGGGAGCTTCTGTGTTTTACTTGTGGCTGTGTTTGTCGAAGCAAGGAGACCCTTCCAAAAGGGTTTCTGGGTTTTGCGCCAGGCCATCCTTGATCATGAGCTGCTTGGAGAAACTGGTATCAAAGCAGCAGGCGGGTCTTGTGGGAGTCGGGATGGCCGTTGTCGTCACATTGGGGACAGTGTGGCATGGTCATTTCGCGTTGGTGAAATGTTGGCGCCCCTTTGCCGTTTTGGGTTTCCTTTGCCGGTTCAAGCCGTGGGGCCGTGGGGCGTCGCCTGGTGATGGATTCGCACAGTCGCCGCAAGCGGTTTGACCATAGCTCAGGTGGCGGTTTGGCTTGAGCTCTTGAAGGGAGGGGCTCAAACCGGGAGCTACGCCACTGCACGACAATCAAGGTCCATGCAGCCAGGCAGATCTAGGGGATTTGAGCCCTTACTAAGCCAACTCAGTTTCAACCTCGGGGTTTGACAAATGGTCAACCCTTCCTGGGCCCTGCCTTACGCGGAACGTGAAGATCGAGGGGGTGGCTGATCTTGTTGCCATCAGATTCTTTCGGGGCTTTGAACTCATCTGAAAAGATCCCTGCCCGAATGTCGACCCGATTCTGGAGCTTTGCGCTGCCGAAACTGGGAGAGGTTTGTTCCGTCTTCTTGTAAAATTGTGCATCGACGTGACTTTCACCGGTTTCTC